TTAAATTATGTTTGATAGTGACCAAGGTGGGTAATTTAAATGCAAATTTAGGGGGTCATTTTGAATTATTTTTTGTAATGGCAGAGGTGGGTAATTTACATGCAAAATTAGGGGGTTACTCTATGTTTTTTTTATAATGGCAGTGGTGGCTAATTTTTTATAAATAACAATAGATCTAATGGCTACTATCGATGAAGATGATTAGAGTATACCAAATCAAAGGCTAGATGTTTCTGATTATTGTGAGAATTTTTAGGATTTAACTTTTTTCGTAGCGCGTCTAGTGAAAATTAACGTGATGCCTTAGTTGAGGCCTCTAACTTTGCAAAACTTGTCTACCCCATGACTAACGTATAATTTAATTTGGATCCTTGTTTGACTGAAGGCTACGTACATTTATACATGACGACGAATGGAGTGTGAAGCTAATATGCATGATCTCTTGGAGCGCATGCTACATGCTGCAAACTTAGAGCCGACACAGCTGCCACTGTCATTTCAAAAAGTCATCACATATAATTTCTGTGATGATCGGAAAATTGGCAGTGGTGGGTTTGCAGTTGTTTACAAGGTATCAAAACTCTATGCCCAACTCATATATATTGTTCACAAAAAGGCTCAAGTTCGTGCTGACAAGGCAACTCACCTCAGGGATTACTTCAGAAAGGAACAGTGGCTGTGAAAAAGCTGTCACAAACGTTTGAGGTGGATGAGAAGAAATTCAACCAAGAGGTTGAGAGTCTGATGCGGGTGAAACATAAAAATATAGTACGATTCCTAGGTTACTGTGCTGACACACAAGGGAAGGTGTGCAAGTGGGAGGGGAAGAATGTCATGGCAGAGGAACGACAAAGGTTGCTCTGGGCCTTGTTTAGATGCATCCCAAATTCCAAGTTTTTTCACTCTCTCTCCATCACATCAATTTTTAGCCGTTTGCATAGAGTATTAAATGTAGGTAAAAAAAATAACTAATTACACAGTTTAGTTGGAAATCACGAGATGAATCTTTTGAGCCTAGTTGGTCCATGATTGGACAATATTTGTCAAATAAAACGAAAGTGGTACTATTCATCGGGTTGAAATCTTTTCAGCATCTAAACGAGGCCCTGCTTTGAGTTTATGCCAAAAGGAAGTCTTGATAAGTACGTTAAGAGTACGTCATCCCATCTTCTATGCTCTATCCGTTCTAAAATAAATTAATTTTTCAAGTTATCTTAATCAAGCAACTTTAAATTTAACCAACCTATAGAGAAGACTACAAATATCTACGAGCCCAAATAACTATACCATAAAAGTATATTTTATGGTGTATCAAACTATACAAATTTGGTGTCATAAATATTTATATTTTTTCTACAATCAGTTAAACCTAAGAGAGTTTAAGTACTTAGGATAATTCTAGAAGTTAATTTATTTATGGAGTATGTGGAAAATATAAACCCCGCCATAAGTCATAAGCTCCTTCACTTGAGTGCATGTTCTCAGCTTCTGGCTGCTATTATACCATTAGATAAATCATTCATTACCCTGTATATATGAAACATTCCTCCTGTTCCTATATTTTTCGCTTATAAGGGTGGATGAAGTTGTAGTTTTTTTATAATAGTGACTTCAAGTATGCTAGTACCACCCTCCAAAAATAAAATAAAAAACAAATAAATCGGTCCTCCACTTTACAGATGCTACCCAAGGACTTGATTGGATGACACTCTAATATAACCAAGGGAATTTGTGAGGGTCTACATTATCTTCATGAAAATGGTATTGTTCACTTAGATCTTAAACCTGCAAATATACTGTTGAATGATGACATGGTGCCCAAGATTGCTGATTTTGGCATCTCAAGGTGCTTCGATGAAAAGCAAACCCGGGCTGTAACATCAAAGGTGTATGGAACAGTGTAAGCTGGCTGCATCTATCTCTGAAAAAGCACATTTTATATTTTGCATTCAGTTCACTCTAAGTTGCTCAGACTACAAAGTTTTCGCTTGAACTTATCAGCCGGCTTATTAGCTAGAATCTACAGTATTTTTCTCTCACAACAAAACAGCTTCAGCCGGCTTATCAGCCGGCTTTAATACCAGCTGAACAAGCCCAAATGTAAGAATTGTCTCTCCTGGCAAAGGACCATGCATTGCTAAAAATTAACATGTTACACTATTACAATTTTCAGAGGCGTCTCCGTTCTTTTATATACAATTGTGATAGTGAACTGCACCTAGAAATAGAAGAACAGGGTCCTACCATACCTGCATCTAGAAATGGTCCTAGAAATAGATTTTTAGATACAATTAGTAATCATAACTGCATCGAGAATGGTCATATTCTATATGAACGGGCATAATACGAGCTATGGCTAGAGACAGATATTAGACTATCCATACTACAGATCGCCCTAGAAATAGAGTCTATGAGCCTGGCCATTGTTTTTGAGGCGTCGCCTAGTCGTCGCCTAGGCGACAAGGTGTGGTAGAGGGCCTAGGCGTCGGGGGCGCCACGACCTGCACTGGTATGGCGTCTGCCTAATCAAGTTAGGCGTTGCCTAGCAGTAGATTGGCGTCGGGCGGACGCCTATAGCCCCGCCGCGGACGCCGGATGCCAGTTCGCAGGGGAAGGGCGGGAAATCGCCCACGCGGGAACTGTGAGGGCGCGGGAAGTAGATAGGCCCTTCGTGCGGGAAATTTATCAGGAATCACAGCGGAACGATGCACGGGAACGACGCGGGAAGCTACGCGTGGGAACGAGGTGGGAAGCACGCGCGGGAACGAGACGGGAAGCGACGCGTGGGATAACCCAGGTATGTTAGCTTCTTTTTTTTCTTTTATTTTCTTTTCTTTTTTATTTCTCTTTCTTTATTTTCGTGCTTTATTTTTATTTTTATTTCTTTTATGTGTTATGTGATTTTTATTATTCTTTTCATTTTTATATTATATGTTTCTTTTATTTCTTTTTCTTTTCTTTCCTTTCCTTTTCTTTATTATTTTTTCTTTCCTTTCTTCAATTTATTCTTTAATTTTGTTTATTTTTTTGTTTCATGTGATTTTTTATTATTCTTTTCATTTTTATATTAACTTTTATTGTATTTCTTTTTTGCTTTTACTATAATTAATTATTATGCTTGTTTTACTTTGTTTTATTTTTATATTTTATTCTTTTTTTCTTTCTTTTTCCTTTCCTTTTTTGTCTTTATGTTTTCTATAGTTTTTTATCTTGTATTTTTCTATTTTACCTTCCTTATTTCATGTTTAAAATTTTTATTTTTCTATATTCCATGAGATGCTATGTTCATATATTATGAATGTGATGTTCTATTATGAACTATGCAATGTTCACGTGGATAGTATAGATGTGATGTTCTATTATGTACTTTGCGATGTTCACGTGGTATATAATGTCATGTTCTATGATGTTTTTGTAATGTTCATGTAGTATACATGTGATGTTTTTTATGTTCACGTGGTATATATGTGATGTTCTATGATGTACTTTTGTGATGTTCTATGATTTTTTTGTGATGTCCACGTGTTGTACATGTGATCTTCTAGATGTTTTTTCTAATGTTCACATGGTATACATGTGATGTTCACGTAGTATACAATGATGTATTTTGTGATGTTCACATACTATACCTATGATGTTCCATGATGTTTTTTGTGATGTTCGCGTGATACAAACGTGATGTTCTATGATGTGTTTTTTAATATTCTATTTCATTTCTTTTATTTTCAGGTTTGTTTTTTTTATTTTTCATATATTCCATGGTATATGGTATGTATTATGATATGTTTCTTATAATTACATGCTTGGTGTTCCATAGTTATTTTTGTTGTTTAGTTAGTGTTGATGTGATGCTTTTTTGTTAAACATACCCTTGCATAGTTCAAAACATATATATTATTTTCACAAATATTATAATACTATCGCATTAACCTATAATTTATTCTCCTCGATCTAAAATACTATTGTCTTGAACCGAGAATATTTTCTTGTGAAAACAGAACTTTTTTGCTGAACCTAGAACGACGTCCCTATTTAATAAAAGAAAATGTTCTTCCTTTATGTGAAAAATGTTCGATAATAAAATTTTATCTAAATATATTCATGTGGGATCTTGTTTTGAAGAATTTATTACAAGAAACGCAATGGTACAATCGAAATTTAATTTGGATGTTTATTTTGTAAACTATAGATTTTTTAAATTCGCAACAAACCATGACGTCATCTTATTATTTTACTATACCTGCATCTCCTCTGTTCGTCCACCGATCGGCCGCCCTGCCGCGGAGCCAGCCCTGCATCTACGCTTGGCCTCCGCACCTACCATGGAGCGACAGTCTGCTGGTCCACCTCGAGTCTCCACCTCCATCGGCCACCCGCCCGTCCACAGCTACTCACCCGCCTCGTGTCTACGCCTCCGCCTGGTATGTCCCCTGCCTCCTCTCTATCTCTGGTCTCCCAAAGGCCAACTCCTAGGCGTGTACTCTTGTAGTGTTATCTGCTCTTCGTGCTCTGCTTTTGCTCTGAATATAGTATGTCTCGTGCTCTGCTGCTCTGTTTTTTATCTGAATATTGTATGCCTTATGCTCTGCTATTGATCTGAATATTGTATGCTCATGCTGCATGCCTGTCCCTGCCTCCTCCCTTGCTCTGAATATTTATTCTGCACTCTGCTCTGCTTTTGCTCATCGTGTGTGCCTATATGTACTTTGCTCTGAATATTGTAACATGAACTCCTGATGCCTGCTTTTTATATTATATGGGTTGTCACTCACATATACAAATGCCTGCTTGTGCTTGGGTTGTCACACACCCTGCTACAACACAAAGCACAAGGATCTTTCTTTGATTAGTATAATGTCTGCCTATGCCATAGTGCCATTCACTTGTGTTCTTTCTTTAGTTTATTGTTGTATAGAACAAAAAAACATAAGGCTCTTGCTTGGATTAGTATGATACTTATTAGTAATGCTCTTGCTTTCTTTTATGTAGCATCCAACAACATGGCAAGCTCAAGTGAAGCACTTGATTATGATCCCAAGACTGATCCAGCAAGGAAAGCAAAGTCCAATGATCTAGGTTAGAAATATGCCTACTGGCAGGACCCTGCTAGGAGAGACTAGGTGACATGTATCTTGTGTGGAAATAAGGCATAAAGAGGTTCAAGCAACATTTGATAGATGGATACGAAGATATTGTCCTTTGTCTAAAAGTTACCACTGAAATTAGGGAAGAGATGGAAGCTTACTTGCAAAAGAAGAGAAGAAGGCCTTTGTTCTTGGATGGTATTGAGGAGGAGAATGGGGAAGATGAAGTTGTGGAGGTGGCAACAGCAGATGTACAAGCAGGAGCAGATGGGGGTGCAACACCAAAATCGGCTGCAAAAAAACCAAGTTCTAGGACAGCTGCCAAGAGAAGGCATGCTACCTATCAATTGAAGGCTTCAAGACCTAGCAATGGCAATTCAACACCAAAGACACCAAAGTCTGTTGTTGCTATGCTTAGAAGAACACCTAAACAGATAGTAGTTCAAAGGCGTGCAAAGGACTTTCAACCCACCATTGAGTCCAGCACAAGGACTAAGGAGGAGAAGCAATATGTGGATTTGCAATGGGCACTATGGTTCATGGAGTGTGGTGTACCCTTTAATGCAGCAAATTCAAGGCAATTTGAAATTGCCTATGAGGCAACAACCCAATATGGTTCAGGGTACAAGCCTCCAACTAACCAGCAGCTTGGTGAACCTTTGCTTCAAGAATGTGTTAAGGTGACAAGTGCCATGAGGAAGGACCATGAGCAGGCCTGGAAGCAATATGGTTGTACACTAATGTCTGACGGATGGACTGATATGAGAGTGCGCCACTTGATTAATTTTCTTGTGAATAGCCCTGAGGGAATGTACTTTTTGGAGTCAGTTGATGCATCAAGTCAAGTCCATAGTGCAACAATGTTAACTGATTTGTTACAGGAGAAGATTAAAGACATTGGAAAGGACAATGTTGTTCAAGTTGTGACCAACAATGGCGCTAACTACAACGTTGCTGGTAAGATTTTGATGGATAGGATTCCCACACTGTTTTGGAGTCCTTGTGCCGCTCATTGCTTGGATTTGATGTTGGAAGAAATTAGGAACTTGAAGACATTTAAGAAACCTATTGCATGTGCTAGGTGTGTCACCACATTCAATTATAGGCATGGGAGTCTTCTTAGTGCAATGAGGGCTCAAACAGGTGGGACTGATCTTGTTAGGGCAGCAAAGACCCGATTTGCCATATCATTTCTGACATTAAAGAGTTTGTACAAGAACAAGGATGCCTTGAAGAGCTTCTTTGTTAGTGAAGCATGGATTGGGAACAACTTGTGTACAACTATAGCAGGTCAACAAGTGCAAGACTTTGTGTTATCTATTGAGTTTTGGAACTTAGTCGAAGATTGCCTAAGAGCTTCAGCCCCACTCTTAATTGTTTTGAGGGCTGTTGATGGTGATGAGAAGCCTGCAATGCCAGAGGTCACATCTCTAATGAATTGCAAAAGAGAGGATAAAGCTCAACTTCAATATATCAACCAAGCAGGGCCTGCTCAAGCGTATCATGGACATTATTGAGAAGCGTTGGGTGAACCAAATGGAGCATCCATTGTATGGGGCTGCACTATATTTGAACCCAGGAAATTTTTTTCTTCTTGTAAAAGCTAATGATGATGCCACTGTTGGGCAGCTAAGAGGTTGTTTTGTTGAAGTGCTTGGAAGAATGGTACCAGATGTGGAAACATAAATGAAGATCAATAGGCAGGCCATTGAGTATGAAGAGCAACGTGGAGATGCCTTCTCAAACAAAATGGCAAAAGAAAGCTATGACAAAATGAGTCCTCGTAAGTGTTGTTAATCTCAGCTTGCAAATTTCAGCAACTTAATTGCATTCCAAACTCCTAATATGTGCTATACTTTTCATCCAGTTGATTGGTGCCATGCTATTGAACTACAAAGACTTGCTAAGCGTATAGTTAGTCTTTGTGCTTCGTCATCTGGTTGTGAGAGATGCTGGAGTACCTTCAATTTTGTGAGTATCCTTGTGATTAACAATTTCTATTTAGATGCATACAATCTGATTTTTTGTTTTGCTTCCCATCTAATTTTTTGTCTATAGATGCATACAAAGAAAAGGAATAGGCTACTACATAAGAGATTGAATGATATTGTTTTTGTTTCATACAATCGGAAGATGAGAACAGGGTTTCAGCTTATGCGTGAGAAGGCAGGCAAGAAATATGACCCTTTGGTCATTGAGGAGTTTGATTAGGACAATGAATGGGCTGATTCATTGCATGTGCCCATTCCGGGTGCTCGAGGGTCTAATGCTGTCAATGAGCTCACATGGCAGCATGTTGATGAAGCCACCGGTGCAACACAAGCACTGCAGGGTCGTAATCTTCCTAGGAGAGCTACTGCTACTCAACATTATAGTCGTTCAAGAAATGTTCATGTTCCTGCTACTGAAGATGGAGAAGAGGAAGATGAAGTTGAAGACCCACATGATGATGCGGAAGTGAGCGAGTGTGAAGAAGATGACAATGTTCCTGCTACTGAAGAAGACAAGGCTGCTGATCCTGATGAGTTTGATGATGGATTTTGAGTGCTAAAATAGAGATTTACAGTCCTGCTAATGGATTCTTTTGTGTCCTGCACCCTTGATGTACTTTTGTGTTGTCCTGTACTCCTGTTGTATGGCTTTGGTGTAGTTGACTTAATTAGTATGCTTTAGAGTTCAGTATTTCATTCTAAGTTTATGGACTATTTGAGACAGACTATGATGTCATTTGTCATGCTCATGCATGCACTAATGCTTGCTAATTTGTTATCTTGCCTCTTGTGTATTGTTTCCCATTTAATTCTCAGCAACTGATAGCCTATTTGATTACTAAATTCTGTAATTGTCATGCAGTTTCCTTCAAAGAAGATGGATGCTACATGGGAGAAGAGCTTTTGGAAAGGAAAGAAAGAAACATGGGCTCAAGAATTGGCAATAAACAAGGTATGTATGTGCTGCACTAGTATATCAAATTCTAGCTTACAACGCCTTACAATATGTGTATGGCGTCGCCTAGGCGTCCGCCACAAACGCCTAGGGGTTGTGAAGGGGGTCGGGCGCCGTGCCTTGCCTCAGTGCCTAAAAAACAATGAGCCTGGCAGTAATCACCCCTAAAAATGACTGAAATCATGCAATTGAAATCACCGAGTGGCATCCATAGCAACTTCCACGTGGGTCCTGCTATCTTCTCCCCCACTCCTGCATCCATATCTCTCTTCCCGCCCTCTCTCTCCCTCTCTCTCTAGTGCTCTAGAAACCAATTTTGACAGTGTAAAAATGTTTTATGTAGTAGTGTTAGCTACTTGTGTGCATGAACTATATATCAACTTGAACTTATGTAAACGATGCTAGGAAGTAGATATTGATCTACTGGTGCAAAAACTATCGGTTGGCAAAATTTGAGACCATACATTTCTCCAAACATTAGATCAGGCTGTTGCTTTTTATGAACGTTCTCTTAAGTGACCTATAGCAATAGTTAACAATTATAAGGCAAAGTAGATATACAGAAAACACATAAACAGAAAAACAACATAGAATGGCTATTTGTGGGTAGGTCATTTCCTCGTTATTAATTTGACCGAATGTTGAAATTCAACTCTTTTTTTTAAAAAAAACAGAGTTTTACATCTGCTTTTAAGAAAGCAATGTGATACATGATTCTGCCGGGGTTACCAGCTACAGAAACGAACCAAAAGCGCTAAGCCTATTACAGCACTTAGACAAATTCAACTCTCATCTAGTGGAGTTATAAATATACTTATATCGTAAGTTCATGTTTCCCTATTCAAACTTTTTGTGATGTTAATGAGTTTCATAACAATGATATTGTTTAGACATTAATATTAGTTTTCCATTTTGTTTAATGAATCCTACCTTATGGCCGTTGCCGTTTCTTAGGTAGTTACAAATTGGAGTACTAGGTTCGGAAACGTACCAGGAGACCCACGGTTGGAACATGTAAAAGCATGCGTTGAAATGGGCATAAAGTGCATTGATCTTAATCCACAGAGGAGACCGATTACACAACATATAATTGACATGCTTGTTGATATGGAGCATACATATGGTTTTAATGAAACTGACTTCTGCACTTCATCGGCAGCACATGTAAGTTTACTCATGGCACATATAACCTATGCTTGAATACCTTATATTTCAAAATAGGAGTAGTTATTAAGTGTTTCTTTTATGAATTAGGAGGGACTAGAGGCCCCTATCGGTCAATATATATTAGATAAGTCATTAAAAAAGGTTTAGAAGGTCAAATGACCCGCGATCATTTAAGAAACAAAAAAAAAGTATATAAAGAAAATAAGGTAAATAACAAAAGACTTTCTATCCATAAGCTCAAGGGTATTTCAATATAGTTGTTAACTGATTGTCTCATGCGGATTCAATGCATATCTTTGAAAATTCAATAGTTAAATTAAAATTAAAAGATATTGATGCCTTTTAATTATTAAGATTTTTATCAAATCTTTTGATATATGCCATGGCTTTTATGACCAGAAGGAGGATTATCATTATTTCCATCAGGTCCTATTCCTTTGACGAGACTATCCTTATATCTACAGGGGCTGGATGTCTACCCGCTCCATATTTGGTTCCCCTTCAAGTCAGACAAGGTCATCAAATGCCCAGTGACCCTAACCAATAAGACAGACGATCTTATTGGTGTCTTGGTTGCACCGACCAGCCTAGATGCATGTTCCAACCCTGGTTATCCATGTGTGGGAGCAGCCGGAGGATATAAAGGACGACCGTAAATCATCAATTTTCAGAAGGTTGGGGACACATTCTAGCGAGACCATTTACATGACTATGAGGAAGCAAGAGCAACCCCCGCAAGAAGATGCAGACAAAGGTATGTTTGACGTGGTGATGGTCGCCACAAAGTCGGAGAAAGACCTCAAACTTTTGGATGGACATTGGAACCATGGTACATGGAGGAAGGATTAAGTCTGAGGACCCATTGAGATGAGCCAAGGAGTTGGGTACTGTGGTGCATCTAGCAAAGCTGAGGGCTGCTGTCACCGGTGACCCAGCAAGGGTGCCAGGAAGTAGCAGCCCATCAGGTGAGTAGTGTTGGTCATAATCATATATATTCAGGCTGCATAGATGTGTACATACATAGGCGTGCCATTATATTCAGGTTGGTACCAATGTCATGTGGTGGCATGCAGCCGTTTCATTTCTAACGGCAGTTGGTTGCTATTTGGCTGTATCAGTTCATACAAGCAAAACCAGACGGGGAGCATAGTTATATCGGCTGCATGGATGTGCACCCAACCAAAACATGGTAAATATATAGATAGATGGCCCCACTGGATAACTCTCAGTTCCATTCTAGTACTTGATTTGATTTAGACAGACGGACTCTAATTAATTGGGTGTGCACACCACAGGTTGTTGGTGGCCTATACAGCCGAGAATGCAGCCAAGGATGTACTCCCTCCATACCTCAATTAGTTGTCGTTTAGGACATGATTGTACTTACCAAGGAGTAATTAATTAGAGGGTATTTTTCCCTGTCTGCCCCTATTAAATACGGTTGTGGATGAAACCTATATGAGAAACAATCATGGTTCAGACTGGCTAGTGCAGTGAGGCTAACGCCCTGAGGACAAGGGCGCGGGTTCGATCCCTGGCAGCCACATCTTTTTTTGCTGTCACTGGCGATTTTGCATGGCACTGTTTCTGTGCAAGTGGCGTTTGTGCTGGGCCTCGCTGTGAGTGGCAATTTTGCATGGCGCTCGCTGGGTCGGGTGTGGGCGCGTTGCTGCTCATGCGCTGCTGCTTTGGCCCGTCTTGGCTCTCTCGTTTTTTGCGCGGTTTCGAATGTTTAGCGACGCGCGCGTTTAGCCTTCCATACAGCTCGTTCTTTGGCGCTTTTTTTTCGTTGCATAGCACCGTGCGCGCTCTCGTTTTCTCTGGCCGTCTGTCCATCTACCCCTTCCTATTTAACCGGTGCTACATCCTATCCATCTCAACCTCTTCTATTTCCATCTGTGCCGTGCTCCACTGTTTCCTTCTCCACTTCTTCTCTTTTCTCTGTACTGCAATGGCTAATCCATTCGATTTGAACGTTCGTTTAGAAGAAGATGATGACGACAATCTTCCATTCGATCTCAATGAGCCAATAATGGAGGATCACACCACATATGGTAATGTACTCAGTTTGTTTTGAACTTGCCACTAGACGAGTTTGGTTCGTTTAGAAGAAGATGACGACAATCTTCCATTCGATCTCAGTTTTGTTTCTCATTTTCTTTCTTCTTTTTTTTTGACAGGGTTTGATTTGAACTTGCCACTAGACGAGTTTGGTGCGGTTGATTTCAATTATGTACAAAACCTGCCCGGTAAGTTTTATGAATGAGTTTGTTTTTTCCTATAGCTAGAACATGCCGTGGCTAATTATTACTATGAATGTGCTTGTTTTTTTTCCTTTTGCTAGAACAAGATGTTGAGGCTCCCGTTCAAGTAAACCGTCCAAAGCATGACATGCCTGAAGAAGTTAGAAAACAAGTGTACCAAGCATTGTTGGCTAGAAGCAAAAATGGGAAACTAGGCAAGAGAGATACAAGCATTGTTGCCGATCAGTTTGGTGTACACATTCGATCGGTTCAGCGCTTATGGAAGCGAGGTAAAACCCAACTTGCTCAAAACATTCCGGTCGTGGTTGCTAGTCAAAAGAAGGGTAGATGTGGCCGTAAGGCAATCCCTCTTGATTTGGAACAATTGCGCAACATTCCTCTAAAGCAAAGAATGACCATAGAAGATGTGTCTAGTAGACTTGGTATTACCAAATCTAGGATACAAAGGTATTTGAAAAAGGGTTTGCTTAGGCGCCACTCTAGTAGCATCAAACCTTACCTCACTGATGCTAACAAAAAGACTAGGTTGAAGTGGTGCATTGACATGATTGAGCAAGGTTTGGTTGGTGATCCAAAGTTTAAGGATTTTTTTGACTTTGTGTTCATTGATGAGAAATGGTTCTACCTTTCTCAAAAATCCGAGAAATACTACTTGCTACCCGAGGAAGATGAACCACATCGCACTTGCAAGAACAAGAATTACATTCCTAGGATCATGTTTTTATGTGTTTGTGCTCGGCCAAGATTTAGAAATGGAGAGTGCATTTTTGATGGGAAAATCGGTTGCTTTCCACTTGTCACTTATGAAAATGCTATTAGAGGAAGTCATAACCGTCTTCGTGGTGAACAAGTTATCAAGCCAATAACTTCAATCACAAGGGATGTCATTAGAGATTTCATGCTAAATCAAGTGTTGCCGGCCATTAGAGCCAAATGGCCAAGAGAAGATGTGCACAAGCCAATATTCATACAACAAGATAATGCACCTTCTCATTTAAAAGTGGATGATCCTGTTTTTTGTGAGGCTGCTAAGCAAGATGGGTTTGATATTCGGCTTATTTGTCAACCACCCAATTCTCCTGATTTCAACATTCTAGACTTGGGGTTTTTTCGTGCTATACAAGCTATACAATATAAGAAGGATGCAAAAACAATTAAAGATCTTGT